AGTGCGAGCACCAGGTGGGACTGCGGCACACGGGAACAAAGAATTTTTAGTAACTGCCAGAGGCTCGCCCCGATGACAGCAACTGGCGCCCTGCCTTGCCTGGCATCCCTGCTCAACTGCTCCACCATCCCGCCGCAGCTGATGCCCACCATGTTATGCGCTCTGCTGCCTGCTGCCAATGCCTGCCATGTTCCGCACATACCCCCTTGGTGGTCAGCGCACGCCATAGTGACCGATTGTTCAGTTCATTTGTTCAGTTCTGCCTTTCGGTCTATTTGCATATTAGGGTTTTATATATAGATATATAGATAGATATATAGATATAGATATCTATATCTCTATATATCTATATATTTTTTTAAATTGATTTCAGAGAGGAAAGTAGAGGGAGAGAGAGATAGAAATGTAAATGATGAGAAAGAACCATTGACTGCTGGCTGCCTCCTGAGCCTGCCGCCCGGGCATGTGCCCTTGACTGGAATTAAACCTGGGACCCTTCAGTCCGCAGCTCACATTCTATCCACTGAGCCAAACTGGCTAGGGCTGAAATGCTTTTCTAAACAGCTGCTGTACTTCCATTGAACAGTTCTGACATTCAGCAGTTTGCTAAGGTTTCTTCCAATTCAAGATTCTGTGATTCTGGGGTTGTTTCTCACTTCCTCTTAAGTTTTTTTTCTCTTTATTATTTTACATTACTAGACTGTATTCTCTTAATATAACAAATACTATATCTTGCATGCAGGTGCCATGCCAGTTATAAAACACAGTGAAAATGTAAGGCAAAATTATTTTTATTATGTATTAATATGGATGTTGTTGTTAATGGAAGAATCTGGGAAAGTTGTAGATGTGATTTGTTTAGCAGCCCATGATAGGTCATGGAGAGAACCCTGAAAGGCTCAGTATGTAGTCACCTACCTGCTCTGATTTGCATATATCTTAAGCCTTAAATACCATTTCCAGTGAAAAGGGTAATGGAGAACCATTAAAGGGGGAATATGACAGGTCTCGAATTGTAATTGTTGATAATTTTGTTGGGGCCTCATCCTAGATGTCCCTACCATCTTGCTTCTTTCTCTCATTGTGAGTCTGCTGATAGTTCAGTCTTATTTGAAATACTTGGTCATCTTCACAGTATTATCAGTCACAGAAAACTTTTCTACATAGAAATCTCATTTCCCCCATGAAGTTTATAGTGCTCTCTTCTCCCTAAATGTATTGCCCATAACTGTGACAGGAATTCTTGGGAAATAGACATGCCTGAGTTTGTTGATATTGCAAATGGAAATGCCTTCCTCCTCAGTCTTTATTTTTCTGGGCCAAGTTGAACGCAACATTATATAGCCTGTAATTTTGCAGTTTTTTTCCTTAACTCTCCTTTTTTCCTCATTAAAGTGATATTACCCCTCTGTAGATGACTGGTGCCTTCATTCTAGCTTTACACGCTCTACTGTGAAAACTGGATGGGGCTGTTAAACAGTCATTAGTCACTGTTGATTTATTGATTCCAACATAATAGATAGGCCATCTCTTCTTCCACCATCTTCTTTCATGGCATAGTAGAAGGATGTTAACTCCCACTGTAATTATAGTGTCATTTTACCTGCTTGAATATGCTAAGTAACTCCCTGGTCAAGAAATTCAGGCTGTTAGAGAAGGGCAGATGAAATGGAAACAGCTTTCTAAAGTACTACTGATTTTGTGTGTGTGAGGGAAAAAAATCTAATTTCCTACCTGCTCAGAATAAAACATTAGACTAGTTTTCCTGTAAATAGCATCACCACAAACACATGGGTACTGAATTGTGCTCTGACTTTAAGACCTTACTGTGGCTACAATGGCTATGGCAACACTAGGTGATAGGAATGTTTCAGCTCCATTATAATCTTACTAGAGGCCCGATGCACAAAATTGGTGCAACGGGCTTGGCCCTCACAGCTCTGGCTGCCTCTGCTGGCCCTCACAGCCCTGGCCGGCCCTCGTAGCTCCTTGCAGTCCCGGGTGGCCCTCGCAGCCTCGGCTTCATCCAGAAGGACGTCTGGAAGGTCGTTCGGCTCTTCCGTCTAATTAGCATATTAGCTCTTTATTATTAAGATGGGACCACCATCGTATATATGGTCTGACGTTGATTGGAAGAAAGGTTGTTAGGCTGCGTGTGACTGTATATGTTCAGTAGAAACCAACAACTAAATCAAATCTTAAGTTGGTCATTTCAACTAATTTGCTTGAAAGAAGTTGAAGTTTGTGTCAAGCTAAATTATATAAAGGTTAAACAAAGAGTTTTTAACAAAGTGAAAATTGTGGAGTTTCTTTATTGAGTCAACAAACAAGTTGAATATACTGCTAAGGGAGAAGTGAACAATGATAGAGATATATGTGAGGTGCTTTGGGGGCACAGAAGGGACATGTAATTGAGCCTGAGTGTATGGGGGAAGAGTTTCTAGGACAGTGATGGTGAACCTATGACACGCGTGTCAGAGGTGACACGCGAACTTATTTTTTTGGTTGATTTTTCTTTGTTAAATGGCATTTAAATATATAAAATAAATACCAAAAATATAAGTCTTTGTTTTACTATGGTTGCAAATATCAAAAAATTTCTCTATGTGACACGGGTCCAGAGTTAAGTTAGGGTTTTTCAAAATGCTGACACACCAAGCTCAAAAGGTTCGCCATCACTGTTCTAGGAGGACCCACCTCCTAGGAAGGTAATGTCTAAATTTTTTTCTTTTCCCTCTTCATTAGCTTTAAAAATTATTTTAAAATGCATAGTTATTGTAAATATTAAAAGAATCCAGAAATATGAGTAGTAAAAGGTGTAAATCCCTAATTATACACCCTGCTCTCTAATCCCCATTCTCCAAAGTTGTCATTAATAGATTGATGAATATGTTTCCAGATTTTTTCTATATGTATACCATCAAAGTTTTTCCCCACAAAATTGACCTCACACTACGTTTAATTTTGTAATTTGCTCCCAGCCCCCCCATGTAATAGTCTATAGTATTTTTCCATGTCAGTAGATATATATATCAATCTCATTTAAAAACTTGCTGCCTCACATAATGGTATGGCTATACTACTATTTATTTACATTATTTTCTATTGCTGGACATGTAGTTTTCCAACCTATTATAAACAATGAATATCCTTCTACCAAATTATTTATTTTCTTTTGTGAATTAAGTTTTAAATGATGAGTAGCATATAGTAGGTGAAGAGTATGAGGATTAATGTGAAGGAGAAACATTTTCTGGATTAAGGGAACAACATGTACTTTCAAAAAACGCTGCTGAAGAAAATGACAGACTTAGGGGAGAAACATTTCTGTTTTTATGAACTCTTGTTTTCCTGAACTGTGTGTTAGAGTATCTTATTTTATGGAATATACATCTATTTACTGAATAATTTATAAATATATAATTTTCTTTGTGAGATTAAAAATATTTTTCAATAAATGTAACCAATGGAGAAGTGGAATCACAAGCTGATAAAAATGACTCTTCAGAAGTTTCACAGAGGTTAAATTGATAGTTCTGGGAATAGAGCTTATATATTAGCTATCTTTCTCATCTTTTTTTGTCTAATTGAGAATTTCTTATCTAGAGTTCAAAATAGTTTTTTGAGTTGCTAGTCTCCACTACTATTCAACTGAAACAAATTTTGTTTAATTAAAAAAGATAATGATTAGGAAGTTGCTAGTTTATCAAGAAGGTATCTGAAAATGGTATATATGGCTTATAGTAGATGAATTGCATTTTGTTGTATATTACTCTTAATAAAATTTTATTATACTTAAAAAGTTTTAGTTGTTGCTGTTCCAAATTTCTAATTTTTGAATGTTGCCTGTAGTGTGACATAAAGTACTATAGTATTATATTTTTATCATAATCCTGACAAGTAAGAGTATTTGCTCATTTTTAAAAAATCACATTGGAAATAACAAATATTGCATGATCTCACTTATATGTGGAATCCAATGAAGAAAATAAATTGATGAACAAAACACATCCAGAAACATTGAAACATGCAACAGACTGACATATTTCAGAAGAGTTTAAACAAAGAATTTATATGCATATATACATAGTCCATGGACAAACAATAGTGGAGTAAGGCTTGGGGAGGGGACAGGAGGTAGATGGAGGAGGTCAAGAGTGGGGGGGAAGGGGGACATTTGTAATACTTTCAACAATAAAGTTTTAAAAAAATACATTGGAAATAAATGGAACATTAAACAAGGGTGGCATCCTTCTGAGTTATTTCTAAAAGTAAAAGATTTTCTTTTTGGTTGCCAAGGATGCTTTGCTGTTTGGTTACTTGTTGAATAGAAATCGGAACCTTTGTAAGGCTCAACTTCTAAAATTTCTTACTCATTTAAAAATATTTATATGCTAAATAGTTCTAATTAGTTCTATTAATTTGAAAAGTATAAATGCTTTAAGTAAATCAGCCCAATGTGTTCTCTCATTACCTTAAATAATAATTGTATTATTTATTGTATTTCATGATTATGAAATATTTATACTTTATGTGAAGTATAATTTTTAAGCATTTATATCTCTTTTTTTACTTAGAGTAATTTTAAGAGTAAAGTATACATTTAAACACATAAAGTAACTTATTTTGTATATAATTTTTTTTAGAGCTGCTTTAGAAGAAGTAGAAGGAGATGTGGCAGAATTGGAACTAAAACTTGATAAGGTAAATTTTACTTTTTTAACTTTTAAAACATTCTTATTTTCTATAAATAATAATTTGTGCCTATAATAGTAGATGATTCACATTACTTCTTTTATCTCTGTGTGGGTACATGCTATTTTTATCCAAATTTTACACATGAGGAACTTGAGTCGAGGAACAATAACTAGCTTGTTCAAAATCTAATCAAAGTGCCAGAGCAAGAATTTGAACCGTGTCTGACTTTATTTTTTTTTTTAAAGCTTATTGATTCTAGAGGGAGAGAGGAAGAAAGAAAGAAAGGAAGAAAAAAAGGAAGAAAGAAAGATAGAAAAAAGAAAGAAACATTGATTTGTTGTTCCACTTATTTATGCATTCATTGGTTGATTCTTGTATGTGCTCTGACTGGGGATTGAACCTGCAACCTTGACAATGCTCTAAACAACAGCTACCCAGCCAGGGCCTCATGTCTGACTTTCAAGCTCACTATATATTCTTTATATTGTTGGAAGTTTGTTCCCTTTGTCCCCATCAAAAAGATTGTAACTATCTTTTTTGATGCTTATAAATTTGTAAGTTCCTGTTTATAAATTTGAGTGTGGCCATGTTCAAATATAAAATAAAATAAAATAAAACAAAAACTCATATTTTTAAAGAGCTATTGCCAGAATGCTTAATATATATTTAATAATTAATATTAAGTGGTCATATTCTCTGTAAAGGTAAATGTACATTGATTACTATCTTCTATATTAATTATTGATAATCTTGTGTGTTTTTTTGCTTCCACTCAAGAGACATTGTCTGCTATACAACAGGCATAAATACGAGAATGACTAGGACATGGCTTCTGATTTTTTTTTTTTATACATTTTTATTGATTTCAGAGAGGAAGGGAGAGGGAGAAAAAAATAGAAACATCAGTGATGAGAGAGAATGATTGATTGGCTGCCTCCTGCATGCCCCCCAACTGGGCATCGAGCCTGCAACCAGGGCATTTGCCCTGACCTGGAATGGAACTGTGACCTCCTGGTTCATAGGTCAATGCTCAACCACTGAGCCATACTGGCTGGGTGTTTCTGATCTTACATAACCATTATTCAGTGAAAAATTTCTGGAAATAAATTAGATGTATATATTTAAATTACCTTTTTTTTTTTTGAAAAATATATTTTATTGATTTTTTTACATCGAGGAAGGGAGAGAGATAGAGAGCCAGAAACATCGATGAGAGAGACACATCGATCAGCTGCCTCCTGCACATCCCCCACTGGGGATGTGCCCGCAATCCAGGGTCATGCCCCTGACTGGAATCGAACCCGGGACCCCTCAGTCTGCAGGCTGACGCTCCATCCACTGAGCCAAACTGGCTTCGGCTAAATTACCTTTTTTGAAAATAGTTTCCTATTTATATAATTACTAGAGGCTGGGTGCACGAATTTGTGCACGGTTGGAGTCCCTAGACCTGGCCGGCAATCTGGGTCAATGAGGGCTGGGCAGATCGGGGCCTGCCAACCTGGGGGAGGGATGGGGGAGGGACCGTGGGCCAAACTGGGCTTGATGGCCGGGGGGAGGACAGGGTGTGGGAGGTTGGCTGCAGGCCCCGAGGAGGGAACCAGCCCTCAAGACCCCTAGGAAAGGGGCCGTGTCCACTGCCACCCACCCCAGGTTCCCCATCCCAGCCTGGGGCCCGAAGACCCTGGCGGGGTCAGGAGAGGAGGCGATTGTCGCCGGGCTGGGTGCAGAAGGAACGGCCACCGCCACCAGCCAGCCGCGGGAAGTTGTCTGTGGGAGCACACTGACCACCAGTGGGCAGCTCCTGTGTTGAGCGTCTGCCCCCTGGTGGTCAGTGTGCATCATAGTGACTGGTTGACCGGTCATTCTGGTCGTTCGGTCGTAATGGTTGCTTAGGCTTTTATATATATAGACTAGAAGCCCGACGCACAAAATTTGTGCAAGAGTAGGCCTTCCTTCCCCCGGCTGCCGGCACCAGCTTCCCTCTGGCACCTGGGACCTGGGCTTCCCTCTGGCCTCTGGCAGGCACCAGCGACCTGGGCTTCCCTCACTGCCCCAGCTTCATCTGGAAGGTCATCCAGAAGGACATCCGGAAGGTTGCCCAGTCTAATTATAATAGCATATTACGCTTTTATTATTATAGATATGGTAAATGGTATTGCTGTGTAAAGCAGTGCTTCTAAAACCTTACTGTGCTTAGATTCTTATCACCTGGGGATCTTATGTGAAAATACAGATTCTGATTTAGTAAGTCTGGAGTATCTGAGATTCTTTGTTTCTAACCTAATTCCAGGTAATACCTATGCTGTTGTTCCAGGACTGCACTTTGAGTAGCAAGGATATAAAAATTAGTCTGATGATTTTTTCAAATGTTTTGAAATCTTGAAATATACATACATAGGTATATAATGTAAATAGTATAGAAACTATATAAAACAGTATTAGTTATATATGTAAAACATACAAATTTTAGAAGCACTTTGTTATACAGCATGGTTTTGGATTTTTATAATAGTCCTGTAAGGTAGGTAGGACAAGTGGTATTATTCCCATTTTAGAGATGATAATACCAAAGCCCATATGGCAAAGGGGACTTGCTTTATATCACAGTTAGAAGAGGCAGAATCAGGATTAGAACCCATATGTTTTTATTCTTAGTTCAGTGCTCTTGTGCACCACTGTATTTCTGGATCCATGTTGGGGGAGCACAAGCCACTTGGAAATTTTCTGAGGAACACTAACAAGCTTCCAGGCAAGTGTTTTTAAGAATTAATGTTACGATTTTTAATAAGAATATTATTTTTAAATCTTTACTTTTTACTTAAAAATAAATGTCTGGGATTATTATTGTTATACTAGAGGCCTGGTGCACGAAATTTCGTGCATTGGGCAGGTCCCTCAGCCTGGCCTGTGTCCTCTCGCAGTGGGACCCCTTGCTCCTTACTGCCTGCCTGCAGTGGAAGAGGGAGAGGTTCCTGCCACCGCAGCTGCACTTGCCAGTCATGAGCCCGGCTTCTGGCCGAGAGGCGCTCCCCCTGTGGGAGCACACTGACCACCAGGGGGAAGCTCCTGCATTGAGCGTCTGCCCCCTGGTGGTCAGTACACATCATAGCGACCAGTCGTTTTGCCGTTCGGTTGATTTGCATATTAGGGTTTTATTATTTAGGATAATTCCTGAGGTATTATATTCGTTTTTAAGCACTCTTTAAAACAGTTCTTAAACCTTTAAGGTAGGCAACAGAAGATACTATTTTGATTTTCTGGTAGATTTATGAGAGAATATATAAAAGGCAAGGCTTTTTAAAAGAATCACAGAGTAGTATAATAAATAGGGCATCTATTCTCTTTGGATAGAACTGCATGTAAATCACATGAAATTTTTTTTGGGGGGGTGAGGAGAGCCTTACAATTTAAAGTATCCAAACAGTCCACTGACAGAATTTTTGTTAATGACTTTGCTTTTATGAGTAGGTTTTTTTCTTTTATATCATTTAGTTGGAGTTGGAAGACTGGTAGAATTCTAAAACCAAAAGATTCAAATCCAAAACTAGTTATTAAAGTATTGACATTTTACTCTCAAAGGGCTACTTAAAGGCACTGTGGAAACTTTGACTTTTATGAAAATATCATCTTCTATCCAAAAAGAAGTTCCATAGTTATTTTTATATTTTTCTAATTTAAGATCTTAATTCCTTATAAATGTACTCTCCCAAATTCTTAAGCTATTATCTATCATTTTCACTTTAGAATTATGAGGAGTTAGCATAGAGCAGAGAGCCTGAGAGGTGTTAGAATGGTTGTTATTGAAGGTGGTGGCATTGAAGGACTAGTGGAGGGGAGAGGTTGCCCAAGACTAGTTTAGTGATTTCATAACTTTGTGCAGGGCAAGTTTCACCTTTAATATTGTAAATCATGCCGGCAACAGGTTAAACTAGCTTGATGACTTAGCTTATATTTATTTTGCTTATAATGTATGCCACTCTTCCTCATGAAAATTGCTTCAATGAGGGGCATTGCTTTACTGGGTCCAATTATTTGTCCGTTGTGGCAGGCATTTGGGCATTGACATCATAGAACAGTGATGGCGAACCTATGACATGCGTGTCAGAGGTGACACGCGAACTCATTTTTTTGGTTGATTTTTCTTTGTTAAATGGCATTTAAATATATAAAATAAATATCAAAAATGTAAGTCTTTGTTTTACTATGGTTGCAAATATCAAAAAATTTCTATATGTGACACGGCACCAGCGTTAAGTTAGGGTTTTTCAAAATGCTGACACACCGAGCTCAAAAGGTTCGCCATCACTGTCATAGAGCATCATAGTTGCCATCTAGACAATTTCTGTATCTGCTGCATTTTCTCACTGGCATACTTGCTCCCTGTTTGTTAAGTAGATACCCTTTAAATCACAGTTCAGTTGCCTGGCTGGTGTGGTTCAGTAGTTGAGCATCAACCAATACACCAAGAGGTGGTTGATTTGCTTGGGTTGCAGGCTTGATCCCCATTGGGGGTCTGCAGGACATAGCCAGTTGATGTTTCTCTCTCTTCTTCTCCCTTCCGCCAGTTGATGTTTCTCTCTCTTCTTCTCCCTTCCTCTCTCTAAAATATTATATATATATATATATATTTTAATCACAGCTCAATTACTACCCAACTTAGGTTCTTTTTCTAGTATTGCATTGCTACTTGCACAAAATTCCATTTAAATTATTATAATATTGTAATTTTTGTTTATTAGCAGTTACGAGACAAAGCCTTGAACAAGGCTGCCTACGTTTGAATCTGGTTGTACCACTTACTAAGCTGTGTAGTCTTGGGAAAATTCCTCAGCCTTCCTATGCTTCAGTTTCTTCATCTCCAAAATAGGGAAAATAAGAGTTTCTATCTATCTTATAAGGTTACTAGAGGCCTGATGCACGAAATTTGTGCAAGGGGTTTGGCCCTTGCAGCCGCGGTAGCTGTCTCGGCCCTCACAGCCCCGGCTCCATCCGGAAGGTCATTTGGC